GAGCTGGTCTCCAGGGCCATAAGAGACGATTGTCACCATATGTATGAACTTGTGTACCACCCACTCTCCGCAGGGTGCAGAAGAGGGTGTGGTTTTCATCTGCACTTGGTGGTGGTCCAGCGTCGAGAGATCAATCCCTAAAGGCGCGTGTCAGCCGACACTTGAGTGTCGAATGTGGCCCTCGAGATTAATGAGGACCGCATAAGTATGGGTACTACGTAGTACGCCATCATTGCGACTGCTTGTGTATTTCTGCATTGCAAGTCGATATGAGTTAGCCCTGCATCCACGCAGTTCTATACTAAGTCTCGCGCGCGACACCTATCCGATTTTCGCGTCGGAGATTTATGGGTTGGCTTCTAAGGGACTAGGAGTGTTGTCGCTTTGTTTGTCCTCTGTCGTTTTGTATATATACATGTGTTTGTGTGTGTGTTTTTGTTTTTATGTTCTTAGAGTGGTGTGTGTGTGGTGCGTGGGATGCGTCCTAGTCGACCGGCGATGAGTCGAGCTTGGGACCTCAGGTCCTCTGCCCCCCAAGATGTCGGTTCGCGTGCGAATCCGATAGAGGCGTAATACCACACGTACCCTCTATGCTACAACGAACGAGAAACGTCCTTGGCTGGTCCACCTCTGCGATTGCAGCTGATCAGCTTTCGTACTGTGGACTGGTAGCTCGGCGGGGATACGCCTACAGAAGGGAGGTGACAACTCCCGTAAGGTGGAGGTAAGTTGTACCTCGCGTAGGCCCTATCCTGTCGTAGGGGCTCGTGGAAGGTATGATTGACGCACTCGGCCGGAGTTGCTTGGGGAAGCTCCATGTATATTCGCGACGAAGATTTAGACCAAGTCCTGCGTGACGCGGCCGGGAGGGTCCCGCGCTGCCTCGTGTGGTGCCGGACCGATGCGCTCGACAACGCGACATCTGGGCCATTGCCAATCTAGGGTGTAGGTGAGACACCTCGGTCATGGCGAATCAGGGGTGTGGCCGAGACATCTCGGTCGTGGCTAGTCTGGGGTATGGTCGAGACATTTCGGTCGTGGCCCAACCATGGGGCGTGGTGTGGCGCGCGACCAAAAAAAAAAAAAAAAAAAAAAAAAAAAAAAAAAATTGCACAAAAAAAAAAAAAAAAAAAAAAAAAAAAAAAAAACCACGGCCATGTGTTTGACTGAACTGCTAGATCAGGCCAGCCCGAGCTTTAACTGCAATTGAAACTTGGGTCCTGTCTAAACTGCTAAAACGCAGTTCGAAATGCGACCGCAAACTGTAACCCTGACTGTGCCGTAGTTTTTTCTTTTTTTTTTTTGTTTTTTTGTCTGTTGTTTGTTCACTTCCCGCCCTCACTGAAGGCACAATCATATGGGCACCTCATAGAATGTATCCGGTGGTTATCGAGGCTTTCGGGAAATTTCTTTTTTCCCTTTTTTTTTTTCCCTTTTTTTTTTTCCCCTTGTTCCTTGTTGGATCAAAGTGTCCCGGCTCGACGAAACTCAGTGCACAGTGAAAATCAGGCTCGACAAAACACAGGATCGGAGGTAGTGGTGGTTTAAAGTTGCCTTCTCCTCATCGGGGAACAACCATATATTTTTCTCTCACCTCACATATTTTAACTGGCATTTTGCCATGTAATGGAACATATCTTTCTTTCACTACCTACCTACCACTACTCCTAGGGCTGTGCAGAGGACCCCTACAAGCATAACTTTCTACGTCTCTTCGGCGAAGGGAGGTTACCTCTCTCGGCGGAGTGAGGTAACAACATGTTTGCCCCTTAAACCACCAGTACTTGGCCCAGCTATCGGTTGCGGGCCTTCCCCGTTAACGCACCGGGGCCTGCAGAGGTCGGCCAAGGGAAGGCCCGGTCGTTGCTTCTTGGCCGGGGCCCGCCAACTACGGGATGTCACCTACGAATTGTAATAAAAAGAAAAGAAAAACACTAAGAAAAAGAATAAAAACAAAGAAGAGAAA